ACCATTGGGGGGGGAGGGGGGGGGGGCCGGCCGAACCGGGATCATATATATATATATATGTGTGTGTGTGTGTGTTTACCTACATACACATGCTCGTATGCTATATGCGTGCGTGTGTGTGTGTGTGTCACGTACACTTGCCTTTGTCTGAGCACATAGGTGGATACGACCACACATCGATGTGCACCCTCTTTTGAAGCCTTGCATGTCTAGCTCCGTCTCCCACCTCCACGCAGTCTACGGCGGCTTGCAGGTTCCGAGCAGAGGTCTCCTTCTTCTCCTCTTCAACCTCGCGGATCGCCTCCGGTCGGGTTTAGGGTTTAGGGTTTAGGGTTTAGGGTTTAGGCACCCATGATGGCAGCACTACTGACAAGTCAGGCCCGGAAGCAGCTCTCCCACCTCACAGCCAAGGGCTTCTGCATGTGCATCACGGAGCGCAACCTCTGCCTGGCACGGACATCCCCAAACCCTTTAGGGTTTAGGGTTTAGGATTTAGGGTTTAGGGTTTAGGGTTTAGGGTGTCACTTTGCAACTCAAACCATTGTTGCAGCCCCTCCTCAGACAGCTCCTCCGCAAGGCTGGTCTGAAACTCCGACAAGGCCTGGAGGATCGGATCACGAAGTCACACTGGCGCTCTGGCTCTATAGAATTCCGTGGTACGAGTAACTTTCGCTTCCCGAACTCCGCTCCCGCATGGTAAGACCCCGAAGGCTGCGCCCGGCACCTCTGTCGCAGTGTCCATGGTCAACTTGTCGAACTCCCCTGCCAGGCTAGGTCTCGGCTTGCAGAAACGGATCACAAAACACTCTGAACCCTAAGATCCCTAGATCCAAGAAAATGCCTTCGACAAAAACCTGGTGGGTTGGGACTGCAAGCTCACAGCTCGGCTTGGGCCCTCAAGGCGTGGGCCTTCCAGAGATCTGAAATAGGTTGACTGGCATTTAACAGCATGACAGTCACCACGGTCACCTGAACAAGCACCATCATTGCGGTCCCTGAAACTGTTCGACCTGTACCACCATGTTAATTGCCGTCATCATGACCGTGATCTGACCTGACTTGCCTAAGCTTAAAGCCCAAGCCCAGTACCCTGAAGCCCTAAACCATCAAGCTCAACAAAAAATGCACTCTTTCTCACTAACACAAACTCCCCAAAGCCTTAAACCGCCAGTCTAAACTCCTAAAGCCCGGAACCTTGAACTCTCAAACCCTCGATCCCAAGCACCCTCAAACCTTACAAAAACCAAAATAAACCCTAAACCCTAAACCACCTAAGATACCCCTCTTGACGGGCGCCTCGCTCCGCCCCTGGCAGTTCCAGGGCTGCAGGCAAGGCGTCGATCAAAGTTTTCTCTGCGGAGGCCTCGAAGGCGGCCCGGATTTAGGGCTCCATGAATTTTGGGCCCTGCGGATTCTGGGTTTAGGGAGTCGGGCTTGGGAATTTTGAGTTTTTGGGTTTTGGGGTTTGGGTATGCTGGGCGCTAGGTGTAGTTTTGAGCTTCGAGGTGGCGTCCTGCAGTCATGCCGTAGGCGCCGGAACAACTACCAAGATTATCTCCCTAGAGTTCCCTTTTAATTTTGGGAGTTTCAAGACACCCAAAAAAAACCTAAACCCCAAAGACTAGACCCCAAAATTTCAGAACCCCAGTCTGATTATTACGGCGCCCTAAACCCTGGCCCTAAACCCTAAACCCTAAACCCTAAACCCCTGTATTATGGGCCCCACATCCTTCCGCCCATTATTTCCGTACCTCGAACCCCAAGCCAGTTTATCCTGCCTTGAGAGTTTAGGGTTTAGGGTTTAGGGTGTTTTAGCTGTGTTGAGCGTTTAGGGCTTTAGGGCTTTAGGGTTCCGGGCCTCCCAATAAAGACCGAGGCGGGGTTCGGGGTTTTAGGGTTTAGGGTTTAGGGTTTTGGGTTTTGGGTTTTAGGGTTTAGGGCTTCACGGTTGTGGGTTAGTAGCCGTCTACTACATAGTTCTGGAAGTCATGAGGACCAAAAGTTCATTTCAAGAACAGAACAGAATAACAGCACTAAATGTCAGCATTATATTGAGTGGGAATGATGGTTGAAGTAGAGATAACCGTATCTCGACTCAAAGCCACCGACTGTATCACAAAACGGCAGTGGCAATCGCATTAGCAATGCCAATATGACACATCAAATAAACAGAGCAGTATGAAGCGAACGAGGAAGGATAACTACGGAGAAAGAATAATCCTGACAATGGCAGCAGCATGGCCCATTTCAACCACGTTTATCATGAGGGCCAGAGTAAGAGTCAGAAATGCTACCACATCCCTGGTGGGTATTACTAGTATCATGAAAGCGTGCTAGAACAAGGCTGTAGGGTCCCGGGATAAACCATGAACCCTAAACCATTGACCATAAACCCTAAATTAAGCCCTAAGTCATTAACCATAAACCCTAAATTCAACCCTAAATCACTATCCATAAACCCTTAACTAAGCCCTAAGTCATTAACCATAAACCCTGAGTTCAATTAAACCCTACACCCTAAACCTTCGGGCTTTGGGGTTCTGAGTCGGCTCGTGGGGGTTGGTTTAGGGTTTAGGGTTTCGGGTTTAGGGTTTGGGGGTTTTCGGGCCAAGAGTTGACAGTTTTTGTTGGGAACGTTAACAAGTCTTGAATAACATGATAGACAAGACAAGAACAGAATGTAATGTACTACAATATACTGTCATATACTATAATATACTATAGGATAGCATAACATGACAAACATGATATACGATAAGGGACCATTTGGTGTCAGGAGGTTCTAGGGCTGCATAAAAGGCTCGGGATCATGGAGTCTTGCTTTAAGGTTACCCCTCAGGTAACTTCAGAGCCTTCCAGAAGCCGTCGTTTGCTGGGAACTGAGGCAAACAGAACAAGACAAAAAAGATGATTATTCACATCAGCGACAATGATGCCAACAACAACAACAAAACTGAACAAAAATCAGAAGAAAGAGACGAACGGCAGAAGCAGCAGCAGCACCACCACCACCAACAACAACAACAAGAACAACAGCATCAACAGCATGTAAAAGAAGTATCACAAGAGCGGTACCAGTAGCAACAACAGAAGCAACGAGAACGAACGGCCGGACGGCAAGTGCAACCATCACCACTCTTACCATAAAAAATTTACTAACGGTTATAACTACAGTACTAGACTATATTGTTCTTACCATAATTATTTGAACGCTTATAACTACTAAAACATAACAAGAGAAGGAATAATCTGCGAAGACCTGCATCAGCAACCGCAGCAACTCTGTCTGCGACTCGGCTCCCTTGTCGGCCTCATAGTGTTCCCCGATGGATCAGAGCTTTGGGTCTGGGTTTAGGGTTTAG